AAATATTTAAATCAGTATTTCACACAAATTTAGTTGAAACTGGTCCTTGAACATCCATACTTTAAAACTGTATAAAGCCTTTGCCATCCATCTGGCCTGATGAATATCCAATGACAGCATCTGGACCAATCAATATATTGCCATGTGGAGGAGTATCCCCCAAAAAAAATAATGGTCAGCTTAAATAGATCACAGTAGTCATTGCATGCCATAAGATACAAAAGGTTTGAAACTTGCCTGTTTAAACTTGTAAAATTGGTTCTTTAGTACATTGACTACAGCCTTGCCAATTTATTCTCTGGTGCCATGATTTAAAATTTTAAAATAGCCAAGAGTTGCTCAATTCTAGATCCTAACACCAAGATAGGCAATCTATCCACAGTTGCATGTCCAGTTATGTTAGGAAGTAATTTTCCTAACACAATTTACAGCCAGTTGAACATCTTGTACTTGTAGGCTGAATCTTTTCTTAAGGTTCTGAGTTGTGTTTGATTAGCAATTGGAGCTCTGCATAATAAAGCTTGACTAATACTGAAACCTGCAATATTGCAGCTAAGTCTCTATGCTGTTGCTAACTTTTGTTTGGTCAAGCACAGATGCTAACTGTGGTGAAATAATATTTTCAAGTCATTTTTCTTTTTTCACAGATGATGTAGATGTCAGTGAAAAAACTTTTTCATCATGGTTGTTGCTAGATGTTTCAGAAGCAGATAAATGAATTGAAACTGATAATACTGTATAGCACTTTTCTTACGCTTCACCTCCTGATGTCAACAGTTTTTTTCAAAGATCTTCTGTTTGCTACAACATTCTTGTTTTTTTGGCAGCATTTTATCTTATATCAGTCATGTAGACTGTTTTAAGCGTGCACTGATCAGTCAAAAATAAACAGCCTTTTGGAATTTTAATGAGAGTCATTGTATCAGTGTGTGCTATATCAAACAGTCTGTCCATCTCTGTTTCAAAAGCAGTTTCGTTTAGTTTTTGAATTGCAGAATGTTGTTTTGAGTTCTTCTGAAGATTACTAGACAAATCAAACATCTTCTTCATTTTCTCTATTGCATTTTTTTCATGTTTGTTGAGATATATGCCAACATTTCAAACACCCACAACCTCTTTGACTGCAAATCTGGCACTCTCTCTGACACTCTTTTTCAACATATTATGTTGGTGGAAGAACACTGACAAAACTTGACAAAACATCAGCAGTTTCATGAAAGTAAGTTTTTCCAAACCTGGATTAATTAGCCAGATATAAGTTGCACTCTGTGTCTGAATTGTATATAACGATGGCAATTCCATATCAGTATTTCCCACTAAACAGTAAAAAAATATATATAAAATGCAAGAATGCAACTGAAATATTACATGAAACTTGAGTTCATTTTATAAATATTATATAATGTAAAAGGCACACAAGTCCTATCTGCTGCCATTTTCTTCCTTTATTCTTCTGTACCTTTCTATTTTCTTTTCAACTCTTTTTTTTAATTCTTTATCCCTAATGAGACTATCAAACTAAACTCTATCATTCCTCAGATCTCTAATGAATATCAGATCTTCCATTATACTCTTTCTTGTTTCTATGAATGTCAATACTTTAATGAATTACTTTTTCCTTTATTTACTTAATTTACCTTTTTGATAGTTATTTGAATGTCAAAGAGACCTTTCATTATACCTTAAGAAATCGCAAATAGTTATATCTAAAAAAGCTATACACATTAAATTTTAATGTGCATAGCTTTTAAGAGTTAATAATTAAAGAGTTGAATATTTTGCAAAAAGAATGTTGTATATAATGAATTAAAATTTTATAATTTTTTATATTCTGATGTCTATCTTCCAATTTAGTGTTTTTTTTGTGTGTATACCATAAGTCTTTTTTGTGAAGTTTACACACTTCTCAAGAATATTTGATTCAAAAAGTAGAATTCACGGAGCTTCCAGAGGATTATTTTTCTACTAATATTGTGAAGGAAATTTTTATTTCCTCAATGAGATGTGCCATCTTCTAAAATACAGCTTATAAAATACTTTTAATACATACCTGATATAAAATACCTAACTGTAATACACTCATTTTTAAGCAAGAAGTTCTAAATTTGATTTCCATAATGTCCCTGGTAGTTTGGTAGTTCTTTTGTTTAGATTTGTTTTGGTAACCCCTTGTTTGGTAATTCCTTGTTTGTCAAGGATCGTGTTTTGGAGTCAGAGGAATGAGAACGGATTTATAATTAATAATTAGAAAAAAATAATATAAATAATAATTTGAAAAAAAAATTATAGAACATTGGTATGTAAAGAATGTTTTGGTAATCAGTATCTTTTGTTAACCAAAAAGAACTTATATATTAGTTATGACTAATCTTTATTAATCTATTTAATTATTAATAGTAATCTTTTTATAGTTAAGACTTACTTACCCAAATAGAATCTCAGTGTATGCTTCAATAAAACAACCAATTATTAATGTGAATTTTACACCAAATTTTGACACCTGAATAATAAAAAATATTTATTTGAAACTTATGAAAATTATACAGCTCAATCAAAGTTATTCCTAAAATTTTTGAATAATGGAGTGTTGTCATTAACGGACAGCACACCTATATACTAAACATTAGAGTTGTATAATATATATAGACTTTAAATTGTATAAACAAATTAAAGTTTAATTTACCCAATCAACTCGAAATAATTAACCAATAAAAAACAAAGATATCTATATACTGGAGTGTTGTTATTAACTGACAACACTTCAGTACACTTAATATTTACAGTAATCTCTGCAGTACCACAAAGTTCCATCCTTGCCCTGTTTTGTTTTTTATCATATTAATGCTTAACAGTAGTAATAGTAGTGGAAATAGTAGTGGTAGTAGTAGTGTTAGTAGTAGTGTTAGTAGTAGTAGTAATCTTTGTTAGCTCTCATGCTACAAATTGCGTTACAAAAATTAGCCCTCATTTTACTTTTCTGGTGTCATGTTACACTCGCCCTTATGTTACGCGCCAGTCCTCATGTTACACAGAACTGGAAACATGAGGGTGAAGAAGGAAACTGAAAACTAATGTTCTAATGCTACCTGAACTGGTAGCATAAGAGCAATAAGTTGTTTTAAAGAAAAATAAGTAAATGAGAAAATTAAAAAATGGTAGTTCCCAGCGAGTAGTGCCTTTATAGATAATTTTAGAATAATTATATATACCTTAAAATATTTTTTTAACATTGATATATTTATATAAATTTTATTTATAATAAATAACTTCAGTTGCTGTTTATTATTCTTTTTTATTATTATTTTGTTTATTGTTGTTTTTTATCTGTCTAAAATTATAAAATGAAAAAATTATTGCAATATTGTGTGTTATGCAAAAAGTCTAATGCTAGTGATAAATATGATGTTAGATCGTGCTATAAATTATGGGAAAATGATTTTCTGAAAATACACAAGACATGTGCAAGTATAACAATTATTTTCGTAATTATTTTGCTTATCATTATTTTATTTTTAATTATATCAAGTAGAGATATAAAACAGATGTCTTTTAATACTTTATAGATTAGATAGTGGTTATTCTTACCATCAAAAACTTTTTATAGTTAAGAGGTAACATATGTTACATAGTACTTGCTCCTTTAAAAAAAACTTTTCTATATACATACATATATATACATATATATATATATATATATATATATATATATATATATATATATATATATATATATATATATATATATATATATATATATACATATATATATATATATATATATATATATATATATATATATATATATATATATATATATATATATATATATATATATATATATATATATATATATATATATATATATATATATACACACACATATTAGACACTAGATAATCGGTATTGTATAAGCCGATACCGAGTGGTATTACTTATGCACCAATATCGATACTATCAGTATCAGTATGATACCATTCGATACTGAGAAGGACGGTCTCATATCGTGTGGTATCACTTATGTACTAATGTCGATACTATCAGTATCGCTTTGATACCAAAGGATACTGATAATAAAAAGAATCGTCTAGTATCGCATGGTCTCAAATCGAGACTCAATAAAACAAAAAAAAATTAAAATGTGACTTATTGAATTTTTTATTAACAAAATACAAATACAATTGCTTTTTAGAAACTTAGTTAATGTATTTTTAACAATACTTTGGCTATTGTCCTTTCTTTGTTTTTTCCTTTGCTGTACTTTCGCTGGTATTTTAGGATTTTTTTCTATTAATATTTTAATAATTTTGGAAGCATTTACTGTAAATTTTACATCTAAATAATGTAAAATGAGTTGAATAATTTCAAAAATATTATTACCAAAAAAAAATTGATAGACGTGAATTTAATTTTTTTTTTTTTTTTTACAATTAGTTAGTAGGAAATGAATTATTTTTGTTTCATCTATATATGAAACAAAAATAATTCAGAGTGGGCGTTCTCCCTAAAAATCAGTTGATTTATAAATTATTGCTTACTTATTTACTTATAAATTATAGTTAAATTATAGTTAGTAAATTAAATTTTTTTTAAATCTTAATAGTTAATAAACAATAATAGTTATAACGTAAAAACGTAAAAAATAAACTGCATTTTTAATTGAAAAAAATTTAAAAAGTAAATCCTTTGGAAAGACTTGTACCTAGATCTCCGGACGAATAGGCCATAACTTTATCCGCTTGGCCACGCAAGCTACTACGACAGAGAGTTAGGCTATTATATTTAAAAACAATTCTGCCAGTAATGAATCTCAGAATTATTTCCCAGCATTGCTGGCATTTACCTTTTGAGACAAAGTATAAACAATACTTAGTAAGTAGTGCTTACCTATATTTTTCTTAAAATAATCTCAGATTAAAGATGTTGTTAAAGGCATAATGAGTAAAGATTAGTTTTCTTTAATAACAAAAGTATACTTATGTTTAATTGTTTAAAACTAAAATTTAGTTGTTGAATGTTGAACACAGAATGAAAGACCAGGCAAGAATTACAATACCACGAGAGTTTTAATTAAAGTAACGATACCAGATGAGAAATTAATTATGGATGCAATATCACATAATTAATTAAATTTAAATAACTGTAATGACTGTTACAAAATCAATTCCCTTTGCAGACCTGTTATAACAAAAATTGTATGGGGGGGGGGGGATGCATGGCTTGATTAAGGGCCCTGAAATAGTTTTTAAGCACCTTTTTTTTTTTAGACATTTTTTCAGTAAATTTTTTCAAAATTATTTCAAAAATTATTGGAGGAAGGGGGGGACAGCCCCTGCTGCACAAGCAATTTCCTTTGGAGAATATAAAAAACTCTCTTTAATGATAGTTACAAAGCTAATTCCCTTTGAACAATCATTTATAATAATCGTTTAGAATAATCGTTTGCAATTGCATCACAAGCAATTCCCTTTTGTGAATTATATTAAAAAAATCTCTTTAATGATTGCAAAACAATTTCCTTGGAGATTAATTCCGCACAGAAAATTTGTGCCTGAATAAAAATTTAATAAAGTTGGAATAACAATATGAGAAACTACACACAGCAGGGGCGGATCCAGGTCATTGTTCTTGGGGGTAGTCCGACCAAAAAAAATATTTAAAAAAAGGATTTACGTTTTTTTTTAAATAAAACAACTGCTTCATTTGATCATTTAGAAATATTTTAAAAAGGTTATAAGGTAGTTTGCTTATAAATATATTGAATGGTTATATAAATACTTTTTTTTTTTGAGAAAAATAATAAAATTTTGAATTATAATTTTTTGTATTTTTTCTTTTTTTTTTAATTTTGTTAATATTTTGAAATTTGACATTTCTTAGGTACTGGGGTGGGTAGTAACCCCGAATACCATCCCTCTTTCTTTTTATCCGCCCCTTACACACTGTTTAACATAATATAATTATTTGTAATAATTTAATATAGAAATAAATGTTAAACAAAATCTTTTCATTCCTTTTAATCACAATAGAAAAAATTGTAATAACAATAACAGATGAGAAATTGAAATACAGAAGTGGTACCACACAATTATTGAAATTAAAACAAATGTACCATATGAGGATAAACATGATGTCGTACAACCATCTTTGAGAATTTCTTTTATAATAAATGAGTCAGTTATATACATCTCATTTATACGAATTTACTAATTCAAATTACTAATTGTTTATAAAAATAAAGTGCAAATTCTCATGACGACCCGAGTTGCAATACCAAATGATACTATTGGTAAAAAACAATACAAACATAACCAATAACTTTTGATACTAGTATCGCATGATCACAATATCGATACTGTAAGGTATCGCACCGTAACCAAACGATTCCAATATAACCGATACTGTCGATACCAGTATCATGTGATCTCGATACTGATACTATAAACAGTAGCGTAGCGACAAAAAATAGGCCTCCTTGCAAAATTTTAATTAAGGCCCCGAAATTACTTCTCTTTCTCCCCATCCCCCTTAAAACAAAAAAAAGTATACATGAAAACAAAAGCCTTATTTTTAAATACAATTTTAATTTAATTTAATGGAAACAAGTATGTTACATATTGTATAGCTAAGAGTTTGTAATTCTTAGCTATACAATAATAGCAAAAATGTGATCAAATATATTTGAAAAATTTGGCTTGGGCCCCTAATAAGTCTGGGCTGTGGGCCTTGACTTATTAGGGGCAAAACAAAAAATATCGAAATGTGGATCTTTGTGTGTACATAACCATTGAATTTATATTTTTGTGATTTAGAATGCTTATAAATAAAATAAAGATAAAAAGTACTTACAAGGTTTTTCTTTCATTACAAGGTGTTTCTTAGGACAATAGTATAGTTCACATTCAAAAACATTATTACATTTCTTGGTTTACTTGATTCAATCAGGATGTTTTTTAAAAATTTTGATAAAAAAAAAAGTGCAAAAATATTTAGAATCAGTGCCAGAATGCAAGCCATTGCCAGAAAAGTTTGATTTAAGATCATTGATTATTAAAATTTGTACAGAAAAAGAAAAGCATTGAACTTAAGCCTGTGTGCTGTTTGTTTCAAATTTGTTTTTAGTTTGAAAATTTCTGTTGTTAACACTTGCAAAGATAAACTATTGCAAATGTTTTTTAATTTTGTTTATTTACTTTTTTTATATATCGTAAAGTTATTTAAAAAAAGTCAAAATTATATTTTTTATTTTATAAAGTATATTTTAAATTTTACATATTTTTTTTTTAAAAGTAATATCTTTTTTTTCATAATAATTTCTTTTTAGAGTTTTAGTAACTAAGTAACTTAGCTAGCAACTTCCAAATTAATTACTATAACAAGTAATGGAAGAAAAGAATAAACATTTAATCTGATAAAACAAGTTAGAAATAGGTTTTAGACAAAGAGAAAACAAAATGTAGTCTCCTTAGGTATAACTTTGTTTTATCAGTTGAGGTGCATGTT